ATAATCAACCCCAGAGATAAAAAAGTTCAGGCGAGCGTGGGGACAGAGAGAAATATAAAAGAAGAAGAATCCAGTAGAAGAATAATAAGAAAAAAAAAGAAGAGGATAATAAGAAGAGGACGAAGAAAGGAAACATCCAAAGTTCCAAATCTATCAATTTTAATTTACAAACGCTTTATGAAAATTGATTTTTTTAAGTGCTCGTGTAGGGTAGCTCATGTGCTTCATTTTCCATGGATAATCAACCCCAGGGATAAAAAAGTTCAGGCGAGCGTGAGGACAGATAGAAATATAAAAGAAGAAGAGGAAAGTATAATAATACTAAGAACATTGCTCGTTTCGTTTGAGTCTGCCTCCCAAAATTATTGGTTTCGCTTGACACATCCTGAAAAAGTGTGATCGCTTCGCTTGATGTTGCTATATCAACATCGCTTGATGTTGCTATCTCAACATAGCGTTTCGAGGTGATAATGAAGTTCGGCCTCAGCGCTCGCCGCCCAATTTGAATTTTGTATAGGGCGACGATAATCAACTCTAAACACTGAAGGGGGGGTCCCTTTATTATCATCGGCATGCGGTTACCGTGCCGCTGGAGCGGTTATATGCAAGTGGCTGAAGGAGAGTCTCACAGAGCGAACCGGGAGCCCTCGATCGCTTGGTCCAGCAGCCATTTCGCCGGAGACTTCGTTGCAACTTATTCAGGAATCGTGCTCTCGCCTCAATATGCTGGTCACACTTTTGGTCTGGACGGCCACGGTCCCTGGAAACGTATACACGTGCCACCCCGAATCCCCACTGACTCACCACACCAACCCTTCCCGGAATATTTGGTTTCGGGGTCATCACTCCAGCGGCCGCTCGGGACGATCCGGGCACCTTTGGAACGCCCTCGGCGAGGCGCAGCTGCTTGAACGCGCCCCGAGGCAGGATAACCCCAAGGAGCCGACGAACACGCTCGACAACGTCGGCGCACTTCCGCAGACCCCAAGTCCCCACTGCCTCACCTCGCGGTGCGGCCACCGCACCGTGTGGGGGCCCCCGATGATGCGGGGGCGGCTAAGAGGGGGGTCCAAGAGGGGGGGCGGGGGGGGGAGGCGCAAGCCAGGGGGGGGTGGGCGAGGGACATGTTGCAAATAAGAGGCGCCATGGAATTTTGGGGGGACACCACCACGGCCCCCTGCCATGATACCGCCCCCCCCCCCCCCCTAGTCACCACTCCCCTCTTGGCCGCCCCCGAGGATCCCCGCCCCGCCCCAGCTCATCTTCTTGCACTCCGGGCAGCCGGCCACCGCCCTCGGCCGCTCCGCGACCTCGTGCGGGGGCGTGTGGTAGCGGCAGGAGGGCTTGTGCACCGGTCCTATCGTCGGCGACCTCGCGCCCCGGGCCCCGCCGCCTCCGGGGGCCCCCACGACGGGTGCGGAGGGCCTCGGAACTCCCGTCCTCCTCCTCCACCTCCTCCTCCCTCCCCTCCCCCTCCCTACCACTCCCTCCCATCCCACCCTCCCTCCCCGTCCCTCAACCGCCCTCCCTCCCTCCCTCCCTCCCTCCCCTCCCTGCCATCCCCCCTCCCTCCCTCCCGCCCATCCCTCGCCTCCCTCCCTCCCCTCCCTCCCTCCTCCCTCCTCCTCCTCCTCCTCCTCTCCTCCTCCTCCTCCTCCCTCCTCCTCCTCCTCCTCCTCCTCCCTCCCTCCCTCCATCCCATCCATCCCTCCCTCTCCTCCCTCCCTCCCTCCCTCCCTCCCCCTCCCCTTCCCCTCCCTCCCTCCCTCCCTCCTGGCGTGCAATTCCCTCCCTCCCCCCCTACCTCCATCCCTCCCCATCCCTCCCTCCCTCCCTCCCTCACTCCCTCCCTCCCTCCCCCCTCCCCCCCTCCCTCCCGCCCTCCCTCCCTCCCTCCCATAGAGGACTCCTCCTCCCGTCCCTCCCGCCCTCCCTCCCCACCCTCCCTCCTCCTCCTCCTCCACCTCCTCCTCCTCCTTCCTCCTCCTACCGCCGCCTCCTCCTCCTCCTCCTCCTCCTCCTCCTCACCTCCCTCCTCCTCCTCCTCCTCCTCACTCCTCCTCCTTCCCCTCCTCCCTCTCCCCCTCCCTTCTCTCCCCTCCTCCCTCCTCCCTCCCCTTCTCCCCTCCTCCCTCCTCCCTCCTCCCTCCCACGAGCGCGATTCTCCCCCAAGACGAAATATCGGCTCGTGCTTTGTCGCCTCTGCTCGGCTCGCTTGCGCCAAGAGGCCACACATGCTTGGCCACCCATCTCTCGTCGCGTGTTTGCTCCCCCCCCCCCCCCCCCCCCCCCCCCCTCGCTCTAGTTTCTGTCCAAGAGGGCGGCACGCAAATCGTGGCCAGGGGGCCACGCGGGCAGGGGGGGGGCCAGGCACGTATTGAAATAAGAAGAGGCGCCATGAAATTTGGGGAGGCATCATGGCCCCCGCCATGCTACCCCCCCCCCCCCCTTAATCGTCACCCCCCTCTGTGCCGCCCCCGGCTTCTGTTCCGGCACGGCGGCGGCGTCAGGCGGGACTCGGGTGGCGTTCCGCTGCCGGCTCTGCTGCGCCGAGCGGCGCTGCGCCCTCGAGGCCCCTCGGGGGGGGACACGGCCTGGCTGCCCGCAGCTCGCCCCGCGGAAGTGCCTCGTCCCCGACTGCCTCCCGGGGGCCCACCGAAGCCCTGGGGCACCTCAGGACCCTCATAGCTCGACGACGACTGTGCTTACGGATTTCTTATCGCGGCAGGAGGAGGAGGAGGAGGAGGAGGAGGAGGAGGAGGAGGAGGAGGAGGGAAAGATCTCTTATCGCACGTGCCTACTGTAGCAGACGTTTGGCCTTGTGTCGGCAAGGGGGAGCATGTCAAGGCGGCCGAGCCTCTCGAGGCCAAACCTGTTAGGACGACGCGTGCCGATCGTCGTAGAAACAATCGGCACCCCAGCGGTCGACTTCACAGCGGATCGTCAAGGGCGCCCGAGAGGGGCTGCGGAGGTCCTGTCGCTCCACGCCGCAGTCCCAGCAGAACTCGAAGCCGCACTCGCACGTGACGTGGTCGCACTCCTCCTGGGCCTGCGCGGGCAAAGCCCGGCGAAGAATCAGCGCGCTGCCGAGGCGCAGAAACGAAACGACATCTTTCCCTGAGAGAGCTGCGCGGGTGCATCTGGCACCTCAGGGGGAACCTTAGGTCGGGCATGTCCCCCTACGGGCGTATTTAAGAGGAACAAATGAAAAATAGCCAAAGCATATTCAACAATAATCGAAAATTGTCAAAAAGTCGTTCCCAGATCATGTTTTGTTGTATTCCTCCTGTAGAGAGACGTGCCCGACTCAAGGGCAACTCATAGATCTGGCGCGGGAGCCTTGGGAAGGACGATCAAACCTGATCATTTACCGTCGACGCGTGACCACAAAGACAGGACCCAGGTCCACACGAATGTAGCCTTAGGTCGGGCATCTCCTCCTACAGGCGGAATTGGAGGAACAACAAAACATACTCAACAAATAACGACAAATATTCAAACATAGTAGAACATCGTCCCCAGACTATTTAATGTAACCCAAACGGATCTCGCTGCAGGGTGGAAAATCCAGACACGAAGAACGCGAGGGTTACCCCTGCAGGCTCCGGTGACAACTCCTGCGAGCCTCCCTTGCCGTTTGTCGGCTCTCGCGAATCGACGCTAGCCGACGCTAAATCGGCGCTATCTCATCGACTCCCAAACGCTGGTCGACGATAGTCGACGCCGAAGACGGAACTGAGAGGGCACATCCGGCTCCCACGATTTGCTACCGAATGCACACCTAGGGCTGCTCTTGACCCCCGTGCAGGCTGTGACGCAAGCCGCTTGCATCCCGAGGTGCTTGAAGGCTTGCCTCCCAGGGCGGCCGGCGCCCAAGCCTCCCAGCTCCTGGGCCCCGTCCCGTCCGGTGCTCGGGGCCCCTGGGCCAGAACGCCAGAGAGATTCTAAGTGTCGGCCCATGGAATGGGCTCCATCGCGTCGTAGGCTGGCCTCGGGATCAACAGGACACTGCGATCAAGGGAGGCGCCTGCAAGATCAGAAGAGAACACGTCCATCACAACATGGAGGCTCCAAAGACACGGCGAAAATATCGCAGGATGGAACGTCACAGCAAAAGCAGACCAACCCCAAAGCACACACACACACACGGCCCTTCCCCAGACCAGCAGGAGCATCCAGGTCATATCCCAAACCCTTCCAGAACTCACCTCTGGACGACTCACCCGTTGCCCGCCAACCGATCCATGGCCAAGAACATATATGCAGGCTTACCAACACGCCTGTTATATGCAACTCATAGCTTGACCCGAAAAAGCTGCGGTTTGTCATCATGCCGCTGGTACGTAACACTGCCATATCCCCAAAACGGGGATGCAACTGCAACCGAAACATCCAAACCTCGGAAAAAAAACCTGCCAACAACATTTCCCGATCCATGGCTAAATCTTCCATACCACCGACCCGCTGATAACAACGACCACCGGCATATCTACACCTCTTGGCCAGAACTGCCAACCAAACATCGTCCTGGGTCGCCCCCTGGCCATTACTGCCTACTGCCTATCTCTCAGCCTCTTAATGGCACCGCAATCCAGATATCTTTGGGCCAACGGGTAGATTGGAATCTAACAGTCCTGGCGAGCCAGTCGGTCAGAAACCAGTCAACAATCAACGTCGTGGACGAAACAAAACGCTATGCCCTACGCCTGTTAATCAAACAATAACGCCGTGCCGATACAACCGTAACTGGGCTATGCTCGACCAAATGATACAATGCAGTTGAGAGCACGTGGGTCCCGAAGTGTGACAACTGCAAATGCGTATGCATGGGGGATGGGTGCCTCCTCCCAAGTTGTGCGCAGCGCATCGCGCCAAGCCAATTCACTTGAAGAAGCAACGACCAATCGAACTGCTCGGCCACCTCCCCGACCAACCCCAACCAACCCTGGGGACAATCCTGGCCAGCCCCCCCGGCACGCCCGGGCCAACTCTGGCTGGCAATCCTGTCCAGTATAGATGTAGATTTAGGTCGGGCATGTCCCCCTACAGGGGGATTTTTGGGCAAAAAATTAAAGATACTCCAAATAGACTCCCCAAATCCTCAAAAACAGTCGTAACATCGCCCCCAGACTATTTTGTTTGACTATTTCTCTGAATATTCCCCCAGTAGAGGGACAGGAGGAACATTCCGCCCTACTTAAACGTAGATCGCTCCGACTTTCGCTTGGCACCTCGTCGGCAGAGCGCTGTCGGCCCGACGGGCTGCCTGGCCTTGTAGCCGCCGCCGTACTTGCATTGCCTCGGGCAGGGCTTCCAGCCTGCGGCGGGAAGGGGGGGGGGGCGGCACGCCCAGACGGCAGGCAGGGGGGGGAGTGTCCAGGAAGGGAAGGGGCTCCTGAGAAGCAAGAGGCGGGGGAGGAGGAGGAGGAGGAGGAGGAGGAGGAGGAGGAGGAGGAGGAGGAGGAGGAGGAGGAGGAGGAGGAGGAGGAGGAGGACGACGACGGTCTTCTCCCGCCGCCCGGCAAGCGGCAAGCGGCCGCCCCCCCCCAGCGGCACCCGCCTCGCGGAGCCCACGGTGCGGCGGCCGTGGCGGCGGCGGGCCGCAGCGCGCTCGCGTTGCCGCGTGGGGCAGAGGGAAGCAGGGCACACACAGGACGCACGCGCTCGACCACTTGCACGAACACGGGCCCCCTGTCCCTTCTCTGTGCCCTCACGCGCCTCGCTCGCTTCTCGCCCGCTTGCCAGGTGCTCTTCGCGCGACGCCCTCTCGGCTGGCCCATGGCCCTCCTCCCTCGGCCCCTCTCCCCTCCCTCGGCCTGGCGCTGCCTGCTTGCGTGCCCGCCTTCGCTTCTCGTGCGCCTGCTGGCATGTTCTGCCCCGCGGGCGGCTGTGTTGAATTCCGCTGGGGTTTGCGGCTTTGCGCACGCATCCACGCAAGGTGGATCACTTACCCCGGCCGCATCCCAGTGCGGTAGTGGTTGAGCGAATGACTGTTCTGCATCGCCGCGTCGGTGGAGCAAAGTGTGTGTGTGTGTGTGTGTGTGTGCGTGTGTATGTGCGTGTGCGTGTGCGTGCTCACTCTCGTGCGCCGTCCTCAACACAGGTCGGCAATCCACTACGACGCTGTCCCCCTTAGTTGCTGATCGCGACCGTGGTGCCACTTAAAGAGTGTGCGTGAAAGCGCGCATCACTCTGCTCCACTGTCTTTTTGTTTTCTACCCTCTGCTTCTCTCTCTCTCTCTCCCCTTCTCCCTCTCCCTCTCCCTCTGCCTCTCCCTCTCCTTCTCCCTCCCTCCCTCCCTCTGCCTCTCCCTCTCCCTCTGCCTCTCTCTCTCTCTCTCTCCCTCTCCCTCTCCCTCCCTCTCCCTTTCCTCTCCTTCTCCCTCCCTCTCTCTGCCTCTCTCTCTCTCTCTCTTTCCCTCTCCCTCTCTCTCCCTCTCCCTCTCCCTCTCCCTCTCCCTCTCCCTCTCCCTCCCTCTCCCTCCCTCCCTCTCTCTCTCTCTCGCTCCTTCTCCCTCTCCCTCTCCCTCCCTCTCCTTCTCCCTCCCACGGCGGGGCGCGCCTAGAGCCAGGGCGCTCTCCCACGCCTCCTCGTGGTCGCGCGCCGCCTCCCCTCTCTGAGCAGGGACCGGCCGTCCCGGCATTCCCGTAGCCCTACCACGAAGTGTTCTTAGAACCCAAGAGTGCTCTAAGAACAGAAACAATGTTCGTAGAGCGTACTCCCGATGCGTTAAAACAAGACAGTCCCAGACAGTCCCCTCTTTGAGCAGGGACCGGCCGTCCCGGCATTCCTGTAGCCCTACCACGAAGTGTTCTTAGAACCCAAGAGTGCTCTAAGAACAGAAACAATGTTCGTAGAGCGTACTCCCGATGCGTTAAAACGAGACGGTCCCAGCCAGTCCCCTCTTTGAGCAGGGACCGGCCGTCCCGGCATTCCTGTAGTCCTACCACGAAATGTTCTTAGAACCCGAGAGTGCTCCAAGAACAGAAGCAATGTTCGTAGAGCGTACTCCCGATGCGTTAAAACGAGACAGTCCCAGCCAGAAATGTTCTAAGAGCATTTCGTGGGAGCCACAAAAGGTTCTTAGCGCATTGTTCGGTGGGGCTATAAGCGAGCCGGGACGCTTCGCCACTGCTTGACCTCTTCCTCGCCTCCGTTCGAGGCCAACTGCGTGCTCCGACCACGTGGCGCTGCCGTGGGATCATCGCAAAGTCCTCTGACGGAGACGCCCTGCCGCCCTGCATCGCCTCGTCGACTGTCGCGTCTTGGACGGCTCACCGGCGGGTCTCTCACACACAGCGTTCGCAGGCAGAGAGAACATGCGGCCCACTCGACACCCTTCCAAGCAGAGATGCGCGCGTAATGATCACGCAGCCTTGCAGATAGCTGCAGATCAAGCAACCATACAACCACTACATCGCCCCTCGCTCCACCAACAATTACGGCTAACCTATAGCCCTGCCCTCTCGGCATCTTACCCTTCCCTTGATTCTATCATCTTGCATCGCCCTGATCAGAGCGCCCTGCTTGAGCCGTCCCGTTGACTGCCAATGGGCATCACTGGAATCACACATGCACGATCTCACAGAACGGGGCTCCATCAAGGGAAGATCCTCCAAAACGTCCGATCATCCCTGGCCGACGAAAAAATGTGTTGCACGTCACACGCGCTGGATTCGTCCCAATACGTGATATAATAGAACACGTCAGTCAGCCCAGGTCCGCAACGTAACCATGATTCAAACCTCGGAACACACTTGCCAGCACACACAACTGTGGTGTGTGTATGGGCACACACATGTATATGGCATGTGTATGGGCCTGGCCAAACGTGATCCCAGTCGGCACTGCACAATTCAACCTTAATGCGCTCAAGCAACTGGAAATTGATCCAGGATGCCATCCCAAATGAGACAACTTGTCCCCTACGACACATCGATGTCTACGAACACATCAGAACTTGCAACCGTCCCTGGCCTGCCCCACGCCCCCTGAACATCGTCAATGATCAAATGAAGCATTGCAATTCAGACGAATGCATGTCACTAAACTCCAATGCGGCCAGTCGGTCAACCTCCTAAATCCAAGGTGAGGAGGACGGGGGGCGGAGGGATGAAATACAGGAGGGGGAGAAGGAGTGGGAGGAGGACCTATCCCCGAACGAATCCCAATGACTGCATTGGGTCCTCGGTGGGACGCTTACTGAGTGAGATGCTGCAGAGCAGCGGCTGCTCGATACCAGCGCCTGACGCAGCCGCATCCAGCTAGCCAGTGCGAGGCGGGGATTTATCCATGTCCACCGCCTGGGAACCGACGTCCTGGTGCCCCAGCGGGCGGCGGATATGGACATATTTGGCACCCAGGGGGCCCGAGTATATATATATATATATATATATATATATATATATATCCATATCCATATCCATATCCATATCCATATCCATATCCACCGCCCGCCGAGGTCCCCGAAAGTTGATTCTCCAGGCGGCGGCCATGTGTCAATTCCCGCCTCGGAGCTACGGGGCTCCCGACGCATTCCCAAGCAGGGTGGCTCACCGCGGCGCCGAGCTCAGCAGCAGCAGCCCTGGGCTGCCATGGCGACCCACTCTGGCAACCTGCCGACGCTTCTCAAAGATGCCCCGTCTCTCGTAGACCGCGACGGCGACACGCGGTGGGCGGGTAATTAGATGCACCACGAGGTGCGTGGGATTTTTTTGTGGTTTGGGGGTTTTAGGGTTAACGAGCGAATAGCGGTATAAAATAAACTATTTCGCTGTCGGGGGCGCCCGTCCCAGGGCGGCTGGAAAGCTTATACCCTTACGGTGGCACCGTAGGGGTATCAACTTTCCAGCCGCCCAGGGACAGGCGCCCCCGACAGCCCCAAAAAGTTTATTTTATACCGTTCTTCGCTCGCTGTGCTGCGGCGCCGAGCTCCGCAGCAGCAGCTGCCGAGGGCACCGCCGCCGGCGCCGCCCGACGCGGCGCCCAGGGGCCGCCGGGCGGCCTCCTATGGGTGTGGAAGGGGCAGGCGCGGGCACCGCGCCGCGGCAGGGCCCCCACCCGAAGGCCTGCGCCCAGGCCGTGCCGTCGCTCGGAGGGCCGTTCCCCGTGCATATGTTTCGGTTTCGTGCAAAATATTTTCTTTTTTAATATATATATATATATATATATATACATATACACATATATATATAGATATAGTATTATTCGTGTTGTTTTTGTTTTTTGTTTTTCTTTTTTCCTTTGGCTCGAGGGTCCAGGATGCTCCTTGAGGGTCCTCGCCGAGGGGAAACCTGCACACGTCCGAGCGATGCCAAGCCAGTGGCAGGGGAGCAAAACACGGCATGGGCATGAACTTTTGGCGCTCGGCGCGGGTTTTCTGGAATCCGCGCTGGACCCCCCTTCCCTAGCGCGCGGAGCGCGCCAGGGGCGGCGCCGGAGGCGCCGCCAGGGGCCCCCCAGCGCAGATCCAAGAAATCCGCGCGGAGCGCCACAAGGTTATGTTTACTGTGGAGGCCCGCCCACAAGAAACCTTCCACAAGAAACCCAACCCTGATACCCCAGGACGTCCATGGATTTTCGGTGCGGGAATGTCGCGCCTTCCATCGCAAAGCCATCGAGACCCAAGAGCCCCAGGGCACCCTGGAGGCAAGCAGGGTGTCTCTTGGCATGGGCCTCCACCGTATGGCGTTTTTTGTTCTTCGAAGTGGGGCGCTGGGCTCGGCTTAGGTCGGGCATGTCGCCCTACAGGTGGATCTTGGAGGAAACATGAAAAATTGTCAAAACACATAAAAAAACAGTAAAAACAGTCCAGAAATCGCCCCCATATTATCTTTTTAAGTCATTGTTGACGATTCGCCCAGGATCTAATTCTTGCTCTTCGGCGTGGGGGCGCTGGGCTCGGCGCCACCCGCGGGCGGAGGCGCGACCTCGCCGGAGCAGCGCGCGGCGCGGCCCGAGACGCCGCCGACACCCCCCCGGGGCGGGGAGCGACCCGACAGGCAGGCGTACGCGGCGCTCGGGGGCCGCGGGGGGGGGGGGGGGGGCAGAGCCAGGCGATAGGTCGGGCATGTCCTCCTCCCGCAGGTGGGTTTTGGAGGAAAAACATAAGCATAGAATAAACAAAAATCACAAGCATGCAAAAGTAGCCCGGCATCGTCACACAGATCGTCCCCCAAGGACTGTGTTTTGACTGTTTTTGACGAGTCCTCCTGTACAGGGACACGCCCGACTTAAGGCGAGATCCAAGCGTTAGGTCGGGCAATGTCCTCCCACAGGTGGATTTTGGAGGAAAAAAATTAAAAAAACAAAAAAAAAAAACAAGAGAAGACATGCTCACAAGTAGTCAAATCTAGTTAAACAAATAGTCCCTAAACTATTCTTTGATTATTTTTGAACATTCCTCCTGTGCAGGGACACGCCCGACTTAAGGCCAGATCCAAGCGCTAGGTCGGGCATGCCCTCCTACAGGAACATTTTGAAGGAACAGAAACGACAACAACGCCAACATATACTCAGCAGTAGCTAACCATAGTCAACACATCGTCCCCCAGACTTTTGTTATATTATTTTTGAATCTTCCTCCTGTGCAGGGACACGCCCGACTTAAGGCCAGATCCAAGCATTAGGTCGGGCATGTCATCATGCAGGTGGATGGTGGCGGAAAAATGACACATAACACACAACTGCTCCAAAGTAGTCAAGGATGTTTACAACATCGTCCCCAAACTATTTTTTGTTATTTTTGGATATTCTTCCTGTGCAGGGACACGCCCGACTTAAGGCCAGATCCCAGCGTTAGGCCTGGCTTGTCCTCCTACAGGTGGATTCTGATGGGGGACAAATGAAACATAGCCCAACAATGTCCAAAAGAAGGTAATCAGAAAATCGCCCCCCAGACTACTTGTGTATTATGTTTGAATATTCTTCCTGTGCAGGGACACGCTCGACTTAAGGCCAGATCCAAGCGTTTGGCCGGGCATGTCATCCTACAGGTGGATTGTTGGAGGAAAAGAAGGACAAAAAGCCAAAACTATTCAAAAGTAGCCCAAGCCAGTTCAAACCATGATCCTTCGACTACTTGTTTGATTAGTGTTGAATCTTCCTCCTGTGCAGGGACACGCCCGACTTAAGGCCATATCCAAGCGTTAGGTCGGGCATGTCCTCCTACAGGTGGTTTTGAGAGGAGCACACATGAAACATCGCCCAAACATGCTCAAACGTAGGCAACATAGTCAAACCATCGCCACCCCAGATTTTGTTTTAACTATTTTGAATATTCCTTGTGTACATGGACGCCCTCGACTGAAGGCCAGATCCACGCGTTAGGTCGTGAATGTCATCCGACAAATGGGTTTTGGAGGAACAAATGAAATATAGCAAAACAATGCCCTACCGTAGTCATAGATAGTTAAGAAGATCAGGCCCATACTTTTTGGGGACTATTTTGAATATTCCTCCTGCAGAGGGGCACGCCCGACTTCAGGCCAGATCCAAGCGTTAGGTCGGGCATGTCCTCCTGCAGGTGGACATTGGAAGAACAAATGGAACATAACACAAACATGCTCAAACGTAGCCACAGATAATCAAAACATCGTCCCCCAGACTATGTTTGGA